TCGATAATTTTTTACGAGCCAAACAAAAATATCATAAAGCAATAAATCCAGAAGGGGTAGACATTTTTCCTTATTTTGCTTTATTAGATAAAGTTTTAGGGCTTAAGTTCTAAAAATTAGACCGAAGGTACATTTAGAGTAGGGCTATAACGTATTGTGCAATTTTATCAAAAATCTGTTGTCAAACTTTTATTAAGGAAAAATTACACTTTGACCTAGGTTGCTATAACGTCATGTGAGTCAATCGACAATCACATCTCCCCTCTATGCCTCTCGACCCTACTGAATCGGTTTTTTATTTATATTATTTTACAATATTATAAAACTACCAAATACTTATCTTTTCCAGTATTTCTCAAAGGACGTCGTGCCTGGACCGACTTTAAATGAGTTAAAAAAGCGCTCAAAGTTCAGGACTTGGACAATAGTGTAGTAATAAATGTTATGGAAAATCGGTAGAACAGTTTTCGATGGAAAAATATTTTTTTACGATGAAATTGTCGTTTTTTTTTTTATTATTTACACAAAAATATGAATAATTCAAGGGTTTATTTTTTGCAATCAAGTAATAGCTTTAATGTATTTTCCAGGTGTAATCCGCAAGTATTTCTTGGTAAACTTGTTATTTGAAGAAATCAAAAAAACGTTTTTTTTTTAAATAATTTGAAGTATTCAATTTTTTTTTTCCAATGAAAAACCGTTTTTATTTTATTTTACAACACTGAGTAAGCAAATAGCAAGAATACAATAACTGGCATATTATTAAAAAATAATTTTTATACTTGATGTTGTAATAGAAAATTTATTTTCAACCGCCTAAATTTGTTTAAAGAAAATAACATACTAAGAAAATATTTGAAAAAAATTCGTTTTTAAATACTGTAAAATAAAAATATACCATGAAATACTTGTAGAATCAACCTTGCAATTGTTTCTTATTCGGTCTTAACTCGAATGCAATAAACATGAACAAAATTACAGATTTTTATTTAAATTAAAAAACAACAACGAATTTTCACTCTTAAAAAAACACTTTCTCAAAAGTGCCTCAGCCGATTTTTCCGCAAAATTTATTTCAACACTTATTTTCCTAATCTAACCGATAAATAAAATTCGAGTGCTATTTTAGTTAATTTAAAGTTGGTTTCATGTGTGTAAAAATAAAAAAGGGTAATTTTTATAGAAGTTTAAAATTAATTACCTACTTTTAAGAAATTGTAGCAAAAAGTGGCATCGATTTTTGATATTTCAATGAACATTGTGCTTAAATATATTTAATTTCATTGTTTTGTTCACTTTATTGTTGTATTTCTAAAAAAAAAATGAAACAGTTATTCGAAAATCGACCACCACGATAACCTCGAAATAAGGCCGATGAGCTCAAATATATTATTAGAATTAAAATCCTATCGTTTTAAGTAGGCGTAATTTTTTGTCAAGCTTTCAGGTCTACATTGGTTTCTTGTAGGAACCAGATGGAGAACGTTAAATGTAACACCCTGTAGTTGTATTCTAGTTTAACAAGATAATTCGTATGTATGTAATATATATATATATATATATATATATATTGTGTGTGATTGTGGGGTTGGTCCCTTCTGTGAAACGGTAATTACAAGAGGGTCGGGAAAAGGGAAAACTCCCTTGAGAAGTAGGTACAACAGCTTTATCGTGGAGGGTTGCCGGAGCACTCGACCGCCCTAATTGAGGGGTTCATTGTTCGAATCCGGGTCGACTACCTATCAGATTTATGGTTATATATATTTTAAACACGTTATTCGCTTAAAAGTATACATCAATTATTTAACTTTGGTCGGCGGGGCCTGAGTGACCGCCGGTCTGGAAATGGAAACAATATAGATGGCGTGAATATATTATATTATTACTCAGGCCATCTGGAAAATTCCCAGAGATAATCAGTTTAATTTAAGACAGTCAATTTCTCCGAAATTATCTGTCCATATTTAAGTTTTTATGAAAAAAAACTGTTTATTTCATGTTGTTTTACATTGTTATAAAATAACCGAATATTAATTATTATTATTAATATTTATCTTTTTAGTATTTTCCAGAGCTCTATCGAATTTTCAAGGCATGTATACATTATTTAACATTATAAATTAAGAATTATTTGCTCAACATTTTCCCACTAGTTTTGAGTAAGTACTTTTTAAGTCATTAGAGTTAAACAATTTAGGATGGGCGTGGGAGTGCGGTTGTGTAACGGTGCAAATAATATAGAAAATAATGATAATACACTACCTTTCCTCCTGTAGATTATGTATACATATAATATATATACATGGCAATCAGAGAATTAATTAACTGGTAAAGTTATTTTAATTCTAGCAATTGTTAATCATAAACAAGTATATAAAAAAAAAATTCAGCTAGAAAATTAAAATGTATTTATATTCAGACAAAGATAGAAATAATAATTTTTAACGATATTAAAAAAATAATAAATATAATAATTTTTTAATGCATTTCAGGATAAAAGTATTAAAAATAAAATTTCAATTACTAAAATTCAATTACTTTTCAATTAATCTTCTTTAAAAAGATTCTGTAACTCTACAGAAGTGTTAAATTCTTCAAAAATACCCAAACATTTTAAACTGTTAAAGGTATGTTTTACGTTAAAAGTTTTAAAACCAATTATAATTATATAGTATTTATTTTCAGAATCTGGTATTCATAATGCACAGTTTTAAATAGTCCATCTTTAACTATATATCAATATAGCAATAAAAAAAATATTTAGCTAATGTTTATTCGCAAGGAACATAAATTTACTGTATAAAAATAAGATCAAAAAATATAAACGTTACAGGCAACAGAAGTTTTTTAATTGAATTAGTAATAAATGCCAGACCTGTAGACTAGAACGTCCGGAATACTTGACAATAAGTTAGTATAACCGAAAAAACTATTAAACATAACATAATTAGAAGTAATTAATAATAAACAATCGTACTATGTTTTACATATTTCAACGAAAAATTATTCATAATAATAATAATACACATTGACTTGGGTTGTTTTTGTAGCGATTCCTATTTCTTATGGTCGATATTATATTTTTCAATACATTTGGGTGTGATAAGCTTTAAAATGAAATGAATATGTACAATAGTAATGTAGCTATTGCATTAACAGGGTAGTTACTTATATAACTATCAAATTTGACAAAAAGTAATTTATGGGAAAACAATACTTTAGCAACGACTGAAAATTCAATATGAAACGTTATATTACTGTTATGAAACCTGTAACTTCACTTTGTACTTAGAAACGTTATAGTTCTATGGTTTTGTGCTTCGTCGAATCTCTTATATTGGTCGGGTTTCGCAATCCGCTGTTATGTAACTTAAATATGTACTTTACTATCCCTCTGACAAAAACTTTATTAATTAGAATTGTTACATAACACACTTGGGCGATACAGTTTAATATACCTACTACTAATTAGATTCCTTACTAGGAAGAAAACCGTCAAGCAACTATTGTGGCTTAATTAAATGTGTCTTATATTCCTCTATCAAACGGTAGCGTTGAAAATCAAATATATTATGTATATCAAACAATATTTTACAAATAGAATTTTTAGTGCAAATCGCTTTTGCCACCTTTCTCCCGTAAACGACAAATCGTTTTATATTTAATTACTCCATTGTGCTTTTAAAATATATTCGGCTTTTAACAATTACCTTTTGGAACTACCTGAAATTAAGGTAACATTTTTTCACTAAATTTTTAAGGATAATTTGTTTTATCTTTAAATATTATACCTACATACTTTTATTAGAAACTTTATCACTGATATATACAATAAACTAGATTGCTAAGTGTACATGCTGCCAATAGACATAGTTGAAGTTAACATTTTCCGCCGTCTTTGTAGGAATTAGAACCTTATCACATGAAAATATGTTAATAGCAATTACAAGTTAAAACACAGAATAACATATATTTATAAATTAGTTTATACACACATCAATTCCATAAAAATGATAATTCTTTTCTCTAGATGACAATCTAGTTTATAATGTATATATATGTGGTTGTAATTAACATAATTCTGTATTGGAGATAATAAGAGATTATTGATAAGATAAGAGAATCGCCTGATAAGAGATTAAAAAACGAAGACTATTATCCAAAATACTGATTTGATCTTTTTAAATGCAAAAATAAAATTTCAGTATTTTTCAATATTTTTAGGTTCTTTTTTTTTGTGTGAACGCATATAGGTAATAGGTGGTTATCGTTTAAGTGGGTTTACATTCTTAAATTTAAACATCTTGGTTGGAATATTAAATAAAATCAAAAGTAAATCAGCAGTTTCAGGTCGTTATGTAAGTGTATTTCTCAAAAAAACTAAGTACTAAATTCTACAAGGAAATACTACTCCAATCAGCTGAACCAGAATCAAGGTACGTGGAAAATAACTAATAGTGTAATAATGAGATTAAATGAAATTAAAATAGTTTAGGATTCATCCGCACACAGTCGAGTATCACATCAATAAATCCCCTATCTATCGTTTTTCTTTCTTTTTATTATTACATTATCTTCTGGAATTGCTTGACCTTCGGCGTAATCTTGTTATAAATATAATATATACTGTATTAATTTAGCTTCTCTAACTAAATTCTCCACCCATTTCTTAAAGTGTAAAGTATGGCCAATTTTTCTTTATTTTAATCCAAATGTACACCGGGTGACGTAATAACGATGTTTGGTATTTATTATTTTTAATACTCCTTTTTTTTAGTTATTGATTATAAATACTGTTACACTAATTATATCATGTATGATCAATGCTAATACCTACTTAACGAGTTATCACACATTTATTATGCTTAAGGTTAGTGTTATTATTTAAACGATTTCACATTGATAACAAAGCATTAAAGTGACTACAGCATTCAACTTCATTGTCCATTGATTTAAAGGCAAAATCAACTGAACTATAATATAACGATTTGAACATAGTTTTAATTATTTTTAAACACTATATCAAAGATGTCCTTATAGTAGGAGACAAAATGTACTTTTAGTCCTTCGGTTATATACTTTAGTAGTTCGTCATAGTCTTTCTTGTTCTCTTCAGGAAGTATCAAACAGTTAATGTTTTCCCTTCTCGCCTATAACATATAGATGATTCGTTACTATGTGTACTAATGCATACAAAAACGACAGTATTTATTGTATAAAACACGTTGCCATAGTAAAAATAAAGTTATTTTGTGTCGTTTTTGGCGATAATAGATGTTATTTTAAAAGTACTCACGGCTATAGTTTTTTCCTTGATTCCGCCGACTGGCATTATTTTCCCTTTGAGCGAAATTTCACCAGTCATTGCTACATTTTTAAAAACGGGCTTGTTCAACGCCAACGAAAGCAATGCTGTAACAATCGCACAACCGGCACTAGGTCCATCTTTGGGTGTAGCACCCTAAAACAAGTATAACGTTAATAACAATATACTAAATTTTAACTTTGTATACTTTAAAATGTTATTGGGCTGGAGATACAAGCAATTTCATGTCGCCATTTTCGTATTACACTTTGACTTTCGGTTAGAGATAAGAGATTAGAGATAAGAGATGAGTGATAAGATATTAGATATAAACGATAAAAGTTAAAATATCCATAATACAATTTTATTTTCCGCGAAGCAGAGAAAATAAATATTTTGTTTATTAGATATTCGTCGGTCATATTACCTCTGGAACATGTATATGCACGTTGCCAATCGACAGCAATACATTTTTTGGATCGACATCGCTTAGTATTTTTTTTGCCACAGTGTATGCCGTTTTGGCAGACTCTTGCATAGTTTCTCCTAAACGACCGGTAAGCACAATGGAACCCATCGCTTTATCTTTATCACGCACGGCTCTAGGATCTTTGGTCCATTCCGTTTCAATATACATCATTGTACCTCCTATAACACAAATAACATGAATTTCGTTTTTTTTAATCTTTTTACAGATAGTTCCAGAGTCTGAACTTACCCATGGCAGTCCAAGCTAAACCCATAACAACTCCGGGCTCAGGATTTTCATACATTCTATTTTTAGTGAACACTGGATTGCCCACAAAATCGTATAATTTATCTTTGGAAACTGTCACTTTTTCTTCTTGGCCTTTAACGATTTTATGCGCAACTTTTCGCATTATCTAAAATGGAAATGCATTAAAACTGTTAATGATAAATCCATTTGACAAAATATAACACGGACAAAGCTTGAACGAAAACAATACTTTTTCAATATGCTTTTGGAGATTCCGGACACCACTTTCACGGCAGTAAAATTTTATAAGAGTTGACAAACTTTCATCGACAATATCTATCTACACAAAAAGTAAAGGTACAAATTTAATGGAAAAAAAGCACCTTGCATCAGCGAGTTCTTGATCATTTTACTTGTTTATCAGTCAACCCAGTGGCCTTTAGTCCCTGAGGAATTAAATACTGTTTGGCAATGGCCATTTTTTCTTGGGCCACATACCCAGACACGTTTATCAGCTCCATTCGATCTCGCAGAGGCTCTGGAATTGTGTTGATAACATTAGCTGTGCAAATGAACAACACGTTAGATAAATCCACGGACACGTCTAAATAGTGATCTAGGAATTTGGTATTTTGTTCTGGATCGAGCATTTCTAGCATTGCCGACAACGGATCACCTTGATGCCCTCTGTAAAACAATAAAAAAACATGTTAAATACTACACACATGAAATCAGTAAATCACTTAGTATTAAACGAAATTGAATTATTAAATATTTTTACAATGATCGCTATTAGTAGAGCAGGTGTCCTACGACTTACGTTACAACTGCGGCCTACTAATTTTAAGATTTATTCAACACAAAGATAATTAGAAAAAACATATTAAAATATCACATATTTTTTTAATAATAGGAAAGTAAAAATAGTAAATAGAAAAGTTAATAATAATGAAAATCTGACATCATAAATGATGTCTTAAGTTAGCTTTATGGATGGACATAAATGTTTACAATCTAAACTGATTATTAAATATTGAAATTGTTAGAAGCTAAACTGATCAAAATTTAAGTAGTTTTTAAATTTGAACTTTATGATTTCCCCAATCGTTTTTTTTAAATTCACAAACACTGTAATCGGAAATATGAAATCTTTTAAAAATAACAATGGGGTATTATAGCTACTAACTTGTATTACCTTCCAATTTTATCTACTTCATCAATTAACACCAGTGGATTTTCTGTAGAAGTTTTTTTAAGACATTGTATGATTTTACCCGGCATGGCACCAACGTATGTCCTACGATGGCCTTTGATCTCGGCGACATCAGTCATACCACCAACGCTAAATCTAAAATACTGAAAATTATAAATGTTGAAATATCACAGTGAGTTGATAATTATATGAAATATGAGCTAGTTACAAAAAAAAAACACACTTCTCGGTTTAGAGCTTTTGCTATAGATCTAGCTATACTTGTTTTGCCGACACCGGGTGGTCCGTGAAAACATATAATTTTCCCATGGGTTGTGCCTTTCAATTTACTAACAGCAATAAATTCGAGAATACGTTTCTTTATGTCGTCCATTCCGTAATGATCTTCGTCTAGTATTTTCGATGCATAATCTAAATTAAAATTCTCATTACTAGTAGCACCCCATGGTAGTTGTGTGAGCCAGTCTAGATAATTTCTCGTGACACTAGAAAGTCAAAGCACACCGTTAAATTTTACAAAGTCAAGCAGTTCCTTTTCTTTTTTAACTACTTTTTTTAAAATTTATTTAAAAAAAAAAACCCCTCCTTCGTTAAATATGTGTTTTGATTAAATAAAAATGAATGGCTATAAATAAATAACACAACCCCTTTATTTATTCAAAATTAAATTATATTAAAAAACTAATAATATTTTTAAGATTTTTAACTTACTTGAACTCGGAAGAATAATTTTCTAAAAATAATAATTTAGTCAACTCTTCTTCAATGACTTCCATAACTTTTGGTGTTACTTTTTTATCCTAAAAAATATTGTAATTTAAATTTGAAAACCCAATTAAAAAGTACTCATTTGTAAACATTTAGGAAGTTGTTTATTGTAATGACAAAATGGTTCTAGATAAAAATTATTAATAAAAATACCTTCAGTTAAAAATAACTACAATAATAAACTTGCTTTAATTCGGTCTCTGAACTTTTCTACAATGGAGTCTTTGTCATCTTTTTCTAAGCCCAGTTCTTTTTTTATGAGTTTAAGTTGTTCCCAAAGTAAAAATTTTCGATGAGGTTTTTTTATTTTCTCGTCTACTTCTTTACTAATCTTGATCTGAATTTTACTGAGCTCTAACAGTTTTTTCAGGCATCCCAAAGACAGTCGAAGGCGCTTAGGGACCTTTAAATTATTTAAAATTAAATGAAAAAAAAAAATAACAATAAGGAAACAACTAATTATAGGTACATCAGTTTCTTCTAAAATTTTTTGATATTCTTTAGTTTCAAGTTCATGTTCAGTAAAAGCATAAGCAACATCGGATAAGTATGACGGGTCATCGGCTATATTACCATGTTGTAACATTGAATTCAATATTTCCACATTTATAGAATTTATACTGACTATCGATCGAAGTGTTTTGATAATTTCTTGAGAAAGTGCCTAAAAACATAATTAATTTGTTATACAAATTAACTCGATTAACAAACACTGAAAATGATAATTTCAAAACAACCCATACTTTAATTTCCAACGTTATTTTGTAAGGTTGGTCTTTTATATTTTCTACCTCGACCATCAGCACTTCTTGCTGAGTTTTGTCCGTTTCTTGATTCGATTCTGTCGCTTGCTGTGTGTTAGTTGTGCCTTTATCGTTTTCTTGATCTTCGAAAAAAGGTTTGGTCAATTTGATTCTTCTGAAACCTTGTAGAAACAAATGTAATTCGTCGCCGAATTGTCGCATTTCGTAAATTCTTCCTAAAGACCCAACGTCATACACTTCATCAATGTTGTTTACTAAATCTGTGGTGGTCCTGACAATATAAAATATCATATTTATTTATTTAAATAGTATAAATGACAAGAGTGATTTTTTTCTTTATCACATACTTGTCGTCTTTTCTCATACACAGTGCGACGAAAGGTTGATTCAATGCTTTTTTTCTCTTAATCAACGCTATCAGTTTTGGATCACTAATCTACAAACAAACACATTGATTAGGTTGACGATATTATTGTTGTTAGCTTCGAAACCAAAGAAAAACTGGGCTCTTATGGGAAGAGATAAATTAAATCATAACCGACATCTCGACATTGCCTAGTTGTAGTTGTAGGGAAATTGTAATTTTTCGTTTATTCCGGCTAAACAGTTCACTCGATAAACGTGGAAACCGGTGACGACGTTGTTGTTGGTGTAGGTTCTAGGATATATGAACAGTGTAGCCATGAGTCGCAGAAAAGAAAATCAAATATTTGCGTTCTGGCTCACTGTCTATTTCTCAATATGGCTGATCTTTTTTGACATTTTATGTCTTTACTTAAAATTTTTTTTTTTGTATAAACCCTAAGATACCCCTCTGTTTCCACTCAATATATTGATATAGTGTACCTCGAGAATTCTAAAGTGTCTAGGGAACAACGGAGGCTTTGGTATTGCCACCAACGGCAAGTAAGGTAAGTTTTCCGGCACTTGAATAGTAGCTACCGACCGACTATCCTGATTGGCTACGTCCTCGAATTTAAAGTTTTGCTTGTCATCGCCATCAACAGCATCATTATCATCGTCGTTGTGCTTATAGTCAAACCATCTATAACGCACTGACATGTATACCCGTGATACAGCTGCACTCGATGGTGTCAATAATGAAGTACGTCTGCCTCGTGGTGGGCACGGTCTACCGTTGTTCCACAAGACAACACTTGCAAAACGCACAAACCGACGGTCGAACATCAACATTCGTTTTACTAACGCATTCTGACTTAGTATTCGAGGTAACATTTTGTTTTTTTGTTTTTTTAATACAAATATAGGTATAATACAATATGGTTCTACTCGTTTTACTAAAGAAAAAACCACGACAACGAAAATTCTAAACGTGCGTCGAGTTAGCCATAAACGAGCCAACAATATTTTGATAACAGAAAGAGGCGCGGCGTTGGTGTGTCGGATACATCCGTTATTCTGACATCCCATCTCCATTCTATACTCTCCTACCCGCCAGGTTGACCCCCTATAAACTTCCCGATCACACAAAGTAAAGAAGTAATGAATAACAATTATAATTTTTTTATTGTATGAGGAAAATAGGAACATTTATAACTTTTAAAGTTTGGTATTAGCAAAAAAAAAATATATGTAGGATGCAAAACATGTTGGGTGGTGTAGTAGGGGCGAGAAACGATACAATTATGAAATTAAACAATATATATATATAGACCAAATTTCATCACAGCGAAATATATATTTATTTCTGTTATATAAAGCCGCACAAATTGTTATGTCAGTGGCAGTTTCTCGGGTCAAGCCCTGGAAATCAAACCATGTGAAAAACAATAGCACACAAGTTTTGCCGCGTAGTTTTTTTTGACTTTCGAAATTCTAGATTGTATTCATAAATATATTGAACAAATATTGTGCTCTTTTTTTCAACGTCTTACTGCTTCGAACGTTAGGTATAATATTTATATCTTCGCAAAACCGAGTAAAAACTCAAGAGTACACCTGTTGTTGACGACATTGGCATTTTCAAATATTGCCAAAATAAACACCTGATGTCCTTGACAAGTATTGTTGGTGGATCACACTATCGTAGCGGCTAGTCAAGTTTAACGTGACATTGGCGTTAAGATTTCTGTGTTAAAATTATATTTTACAACGGCAATGTTTTATTTAAAATTTGTAATTGTAGTGTTGTGTTTAGCAAGTACGAAAATCGTAAACAGTAAATGTGATGAAATCCATCAGGTATTATTTTTTATTATATTTTAAAAGAATCTATCAACATTCTTTAAGAGCCATCGTCTTAATAAAAGAAAATACTCCATGAATAAAAAATTCAGTACAAAAGCTATTACTTAAAAAAGCAAATTACAGTCAAGGTTTTAGAAGAAAGGATGAAAACGAGATAAAAAAATGTGCGAATCAATCCACAAAATAAATATAAGTGACCCTTCAGTACATCACTATCGGACTTGGAAGGGTGATTTGTTTTTACCTTTGTTATAGAAACTTATTAATAATTTTGATTGACATATTTTGTGACCCAAATACACTCTAAGGCTAAATTCCAACTTATATCTCTTGGAAACATTTAAATTCTCTAAATAAAGAGATAAATAGCTAGAGTCGGCAACAATGCCATGAATAAACATGTCAAATAATATGATATCCTCATGATTAACTACGGTGACTTTTAGTGGAATTAGGTACCTAAATATTTTGTTTTTTGAAATTCCAGAGCAAACATTTGCAGAAAAAGTTTATTGAGACCGTGAACAGTATCCCTACGCTTGAACAAAACTGCAATTATGTTCCCGACAAAGATGTCATCGCCATGCTGGACTTGGTAGACCACGGAATGAATGGGACTAAGCCCACGAGCTATCTAAGAAAACTGTTGTCACTGAGTTGCACTTATGGGCACGTCACGCTCTATATGTTGTACCATTTTATCGACATGCAGATTAAGGGCCAATCTATCGATGCGACGTTTTTATATTATTACAGAGAATTTATGCATCACATGCTCCAGGTTCTGTACTTGGCTGATAGTTTTGCAGACCGGGAATTGTGGTACGTAGCTATAACGTTGGACGCTTTCGTACACCGTAAACTCGTTTGGGGCTCTATAAACTTTAAGGGAATGGCCGATTCGTTGATTGGTTCTCTGATACAGAGATGCGTGTCCGACCAATTATCGAGTAACTTTCCTGTGTTCGAACAAATACCAAGACGGTTTGATTTCGCCTCATATAACCGCCAGCTGGGCACCCATTTGATGTTGTCCGTAGGCCACCAGCGATTCATGGCGGATCTATACCACGGCGATGATCAATTCGAAATTTACCAGTTTATTTGGGATCAAAATCGAAACTACAAGAATTTTACTCCGCCTGGCACTTGGTTAAAGGATTACAACGGTAAACATTTGCAGACGGTCTACGAAGATGTGACTCTGAAATGGAATTCCGACTTTTACTCTTTACAGGGCTACACGGACAGCGTTCGAAATCTCGTTCTGGCGGTCACGTACTACGCTCTTCTGTTGCATTGCTAACTCTCTTTATTTGTCGTTTGTACCGCTCTAGTTGTCAGAGACAAATCTAAATAGGAATGTAGAAAATTAATTTTTAAACAAAATTTAAACGTCTACATTGCGGTAATTTGTCTAAAGATTTGCGACAATTTGCTTGTAGATTTTATTTTTCTTTCACCGTTAAAGGTCTGAATGTCATTCATAAATTGTCCATAAAATAGGCGAAATTTAAAAACATATTATTTCTACTTTTTCTCTTACTACACCATAATAGTTTTATAATAAATATCTTGGGAGGTGTCTCCTTATTTTCAAGTTTGATAACCATGGCCAACCATAATTCCAATAATTGAGATTATCGGTATATTATTCGTCAAACCAAAACAAATTTTACATAACTATCGAAAAACCGATATATATAAATTATTGTATTTTGCTTTCTCATGTCAATGTAGTGTTATAAGATGTGTTATTTAGTTAATTATGTGGTTTCTAGGACTTGGAAATGCACATTTTTTGAGTATTGTGAATAGAATCCCCACGCTGGATAAAAAGGCAGAGCAGTTTACGATTCCTGAATTGAACGCACTGATAGACGACGCAAACAAAAAAGAATCGACGAACTCAATGGCACCCGAGAAATATCAGAGAAAAATAAGAGCATTGAATTACGCGTACATGCACGCCACTCTATATATGTTTTATCACCTATACTATTCATACAAAAACAATAGAATAGATAAAGTTTGTTTTTACTTGCATCGATACACAAAATGTGCCCACCGCCTAATGTCGGTTTTGTACGCGTCGAAGGGTTTTATTTTTCGAGATTTGTGGTTCGCGGTGATTGCTTTTGACTCCTTTAGACACAGTACAACTTTCGAGAATATTAGGATTTGCAACAGAATGGAAATGTCTATTTTAGATTCAATAAAGACATTTCAAACAGATAAGTTCGGTTATACAGACTGTATAACTGAATTTTTTCTATCATACGACGAGTTGGTCGCAAAAGGACCGTACGATTTTGCAGCCTACAACGACCAACTCTTGTCCAAGTTGATGTTGTCCGATGGCAACGAAGCTTTTATGATTAATCTGTACCGAGGAGAAGAACGATTCGACATTTTCCGGTTTATTTGGAACGACGATCATCACTATACTAACATCGCTCCTCCAGCCAGCTGGTGTCAGTTGTACGATGACAAGCATTCAAAGAAGGTCTATGAAGACCTTTTGTTAAATTGGAAGGAGTCTGCGTACTCAATAGTCCGGTACAAATATTCCGTCATCAATACTGTTATGATGGTCACGTATTATGCTCTGCTTTTGCACTTCCACTATTTGATGACCACGTGGTCTAACATAACAGAGATGGTCAAATCTGACGATTTCGCGGCGAGTGTGCGGATTCCTTTACCTTTAGTCAAGATCATTTTTTGTGACTTAAACGTCCCCGAAGACGATACTAGTCTCATCGGAGAAATAGAAAATAAACTGGCCAATTCTAGCGACAACACTGACTGGACTACGTTCAACGCTTTCGTCAATCGTTTGTTGGTACGATACAATTTCTACACCGCCACACGATTAAACTTGAAACAAATGGATTATTCCATGATGACGAAAGAGTTTATGGTGCCAGACCAAATGGAATTGTCCGCCTTGAAAACGAAACTATTGGAATTTGTCGAAATATTGAACAGTTACTACGAAACCGTTAAACGGACATTGTCACCAACCACTTTTCGTGTTCTTGAAAGTTTTTCGCGTACTAAACGCGGACAATGGGAAAAAAATATAAGACAAAGCAAGAGTTCGAGATGAGTAGGTTACGCTATGGAGGACGTAAATAGCCTAGTTTCATAAAAATAAAGACTAAAACACTTAGTCCCTTCCTAAAGTGTCTGTTTGGTAACAGATGAAATTTTATTTTCTTCTTGATGTAGGCTAAAATGACCTTTTTTTATTTTTGTTTTCAAAATTGTGTAACAAGGTTTCATACTCTAAAATTGCTTGTCCTTCCATAAATAGTGGTTTACGTTCTCTTTAGTGTAAATATCAGTTTATTTGGTGGTAAACGAGAATCGACTTTTATTAGATGTTAAATAATTCACTGTTTCTTTTATAATTCGGATATGTTAACTTTTACTAAACAGTTTCATTTTATAATATTGCATTGTATTGTATATTAATAATCACAACCTAACCTAACCATGCAATGCTTTCAGTCTCCTTTATAATTTTGTAACCTTTTCTTAAAATATAAAGGTAATATCATTTGTGTGCTTTTTAATTGTTAGAACATAAAACCTAAGTCATACTTTTGGGAATAATTTGCATTAGACGAGGTTGTTAGGTCAATTTAAGGTATGAACTATTCTAGACTGGCCACCAGGTTGAAAGAAAAAAGGTAGAGAAGAAAAGGTGAGAGGGTGAGGGAAGAATTGAGGACAATATCATTAATAGGAGTTAGCACATATTCTGGTAAATTTTAGCACCGCCAATGTAGTGCACTCCATAGTGCAATGGTCCTTTGTGGTCTCGCAATTATTATATTATATTATAAATTCGTCTGCTGTCAATGTACAGTTCCATATATTTAGTGACTGTACACTACTATTGACCTCTACTCACTCTAACAACTCCTGTAATACTGGATATTTTACACTATGTTCAAGTATGCCTGTATTCTTTGCTGGTCCTATTGCGGTCACATCATCTACAAAGCACACTTTTTGGA